ATTAATTATACTCGATGTTTGTACCGTCGTACATCAACAACAGTTTCACCAAGGCAATAAATAGGAACGGCTATGAAACACAGCATCTTTATTACGCCCCTTTCACACCGTGTGGATGAAGAGCGTAAAATTCGTCCATACACCCTTTTTACACGATTTCAGACACCATTGCTGCAAGCGGGGCGTAAAGAGGGCGTGTAAAGGGTATAAAACGTCAGCACACCCTTTTTACACCCACCGATATTCAGAGATCGTGTAAAAAGCGTATAAAAAGGGCGTTTTTCTTAACCTACACCCTTCTTACACCCTTTTTACACGATTATGGGTGTTACAATGTTTAGTGTGTACAACTTCGAAAAACTCGTTTTGACAATTCGCCTTACATAAGACATTCGGACGGCACTTGAAGACGCGAGTGGAGTGCCATTGCATGGCACGTGAACGTTCTGTGCCGTCGGACGGTACTCAACACTATATTATATATATATATATATATATATATATATATATATATATATATTTGTAACTACTCAATGCGCGTTTTTTTCCAAAACCTTCACAATAAACTACAGCCAGAGGGCTAGCAAGTAAGTGCAACATATACAGCATTTTGTATAAAAAGTTCGTGCCCTAGTCAAAAAAGAACTCTTCGCAAGCAACATCATCAATGCAGAGAATCGAACCTGAATTCGAACACCCGCAGTGAAAGCAAACGGGGTGCAAATACGAGGGCCAGCACGTAATGGGTCCCTTTAGCAGCCAAGGGTTCCGCGAAACACACCACATAGTTAGGTGATACCAAGGCGCCACCTGATTTGTAGAGCTCGTCTAGTCCACCGATCCACGAGATAAAGCTCCCGATACACTTACGAAGTCCCGTCCCCCACTCCGGCTTCGGTGGGACCTTCGCCTCTGTGTACGCTCCCGCAATCTGACTGCTCGCTCAGTGACAGGTCGGTTGCGCGACTTCCTTGGGAAAAGCTTGAAGGTCATCCCATGCGCAAAGCACGTGTGCGACAAGGAGCCCCACACGTTCGCCTTCACGCTTCCTTCACACACACACAAGGACACTTCACAAACGCTCCGAAAAGAAAGCCCTGAAGAAGTCAAGCGAGTAGGCAAGTACTCACCAAGCAGACTCAAACCCACAGCTGGTTTCATGGGCAAGCCGGCACCTCGGGTACCTTTTGTTTTTCGGAGAACGTTCTTCGATGTTTTTTTGAAAGCCTAAAAGCCTGAAACTGCCCGAAAGTTTGCAGCTTGCTTTGTTTTTTTTTATTTTGGTTACGGTGGCGATAGCGGTGCGGCGACGTTCGCTGGTTACATGGAGAATAGTAGGGTAGGAGAGGGCATGACGTCAGCCGCGTAGCATCCACAAGCCATGCTCCCTTGACGCCTCGCCTCTTTCTCATTTTCCTCCTTACTCTCCTCACTTATCAGGCAACGTGACCACATCACGTGACCACAGCGTGGTTGGCGGTTGCGGGTAACAGGGAGCATGGTACTTTTTATTTATCAGTCATAGAGCTGAGAATCGTGCGTGTCGCCCGCGCCCAGCCGACCGATTCTATGCTTGCTGCGCTTCGTTACGTACCCTCAACTACGAAGCAAATGCTTCATGTTTTCTACAAATCATTAGCATCCTGGCCCGTCACGACTATTCCTTTGACTACAATGACAGCCTGCGGACTTCTGGCTCGCACCGCCTGAGCCACCGACGAACAGTGGCGCGTGTCCGACTTGTTGCTCTTGCCGCTGGCCCCTCGCTGGCCGGCTTCTACCTAGCATCGGTCCCCCGTATCTCTAGCCGGACAGGCTGTCCTTTCCCTCTCCGCACCTGCACCCGGCGACAGGAAGCTTCACTGTTCCTCTCCGCGGTGAGCTCGTACCTGTCTTTACAGAGCGCACATGCCCGCCCCTGCGCGGGACTGGAGACGAACTCCGCGACTTTATCAGGGCTGCGTCGCGTGCCCTGTGAGCTCAGTAACTTTGTGTCACTACCATTTCTCCCTTCCTTTCATTTCTAAATCCATCTTCATCATTTCACCTGTTGACACAGCCTAGGAGGCAGCCAGCACTTGGTTGTACGGGCTGGTGCCTTTTCGCCGCCTCAGACACTCGGGATGTGTTTAAGTTGTGCCAATAAACACCTTGAACCTTGATAGTATTCAACATGGAACGTCAACGCTGTGACGACTGCCTGTTGGCGTGCTTTGGGTAACGTACCGTGCATCTCAGTGCATCAGCAAAGAGTATTCTTTTTATCTCCTGGCCGCTAATTACTACAGTAGTCAAAGCCGACAGTTTGGACCAATACTTACGCATTTTTACGGCGATGATTTTCGCACCCGTCTGCAAAAGACAGCCGCGCTCTCATCGCTCATTTTTGTTGCGACCGCTATGCAGGTCGTCCACTCGGTAGTTTTAGTGATGTCGTGACAAATTGAACCAGTTCAACTTGACTCGAGGTTGTGGGCGCTCGGCCCGCCACCCCGCGCCCATCCGGCCAACAACGCGCCACCGCCCTGGGGGCGGCTCCTCGGCTCAGCGGACAAGATATAAGCGCGTGCGGCAGCAAGCAGGAGGACTGTTCGGTTCGCCCAGCCGTCAAGCGTACTGGCCGATGGTAATAAACCTCAGTTTGTAAAAAGGACGAGCCATCTGGTCGATCTCCCGCGGCGGACGACGGAAGTCGAACGCCACACCTGGCGCCCAACGGGGATTCCTTCGTCCGTCGTCGGGGGATCGTCCGGGCCACACGGTTCGTACTGTTTTCCTATTTTGTATTTGTCGCGCGAGTGTCTCTTCTTTTCCCTGTATTTTCTTATCTTCTTTGTGCCCGGCGAGTACAGTGTTCGCGGTTCGCACGTCGCTGACGGAGCGGTTTTTGTTTTGAATTCTTCTACTCTACGTTTTTTTCTTCCCCTTTTCGCGTTCGCGTCCTTTTTTTTTTCTCTTGCCGTGTTTCTTTTTCTTTTTCCTTGAACATGCCACCCAAGAAGCAGCCCCCGGACCAGCCCGCGGATGGCGACTCCAGCGAAAGCGACGTGGAGCTCGGCCCGTCCACCGCGGACGTCCTGGCGCTGATGCAGCAGATGTCCGCCACCCTCACGCTGGTGACAGAGCGCCTGGCAGCCGGCACGGGCGGGACCGGCGGCCAGCAACCGCGTGAGCCTGAGCTTCATCCACGACTCACGATTCCCGTCTACACGGGTTTCGACGACCGGAAGTCTGTCGCCGACTTCCTTGGAGAGCTGGACGTCTACGCCCGGGCGTCCGGCTCCTCGGAGCGCCACGTCCTCGAGAGGATCCTCCCCATGGCCCTACAGGCGAGCGCGAGACGTTGGTGGGTGCAGCAACCCGCTTTTCCTTCCCTCGCAGCCTTCACCTCCGCCTTCCGCGAAGAATTCCTGCCAGCAGGGTACGCGGTCAGGGTCCAGCGTGAGCTCGAGCGTCGCACTCAGCACCCAGAAGAAAGCCTCGTTGAGTATATCCGGGCTATGCAAGAGCTGTACAACAGAGCCGCGAAAGCTGCTCCTGAGTCGGAGAGGGTCGCACGCATCATCCGCCAATGCCACCCCCGTTTCCACGTGTATCTGCATGGACGCACCTTTACCGACGTGGAAGACCTGGTACGCGCGGCGCGCGGCGTCCAGGAGTTGCTCCTGGCCAGCGACGAGTACAAGCCGCCGCCTCCAGCGGAAGACGCCCTCGAACCCTCCTGCGCATGGGTTCCTCCCGCACAGCAACGCAGCGTCCACGTCCGTGCCCCTCCGACTCGGCGCCCGCCTGAAAGGGACGGCGCCTTCGCCTCCGACGAGAACCCCGATGCCTACGCATCGGGCGGGGTTAGCGACAGCTTAAATTCCCGACCGAGGGAAGCCCCAGGCGCCTGGGACTGGTTCCCCCAGGGCCCGCACATGGGTGGAAGCCCGCCGCGGGTGCCGCGAAACCCCGAAAGGGGCCGGCTGCAGTTCCGTGACGGCGAAAGCCGGCTGCACGAACCCCTGCAAAATCTCCAGATGGCCGGAAGGCCCCAACGGCAGCCGAGAGGCGACTGGCATCGTGGGAATGATCCGGCGGAGCCGAGAGGCAGCCGGCGACGTGGGAGTGAACGGGGCAGCGTGGGAACCCAGCGGCAGAACGACTCCTGCTACCACTGCGGACAGCGTGGCCACTTCCGCAGCCAGTGCCCACAACGGCGGTCCCGTGAGCAGCGAGAGCTGCCTAACCACGGAAACCAACGAGGCCCGCGGCGCTGAACCCGGATATCTCGCCGCCAAGGGCCGCTACCAGCCCCGGGAAATGTGAGTCGCCAGCACTCCTTCCTTCTGTATGTCGAGTTCGCCCTGCACACCATAGTATCGAGCCACGCATGACAGTTTCTTTACTCGGCGTGCCTTTTGCCGCGCTTCTTGATACCGGCGCGGGAGTTTCGCTTATCGGCGACGTAGTTCTCGAACTCTGCAAATCGAGGAAGGTTAAGCTTCGTTGTTCGAGCACGCTTTTGCAGTTAGCGTCAGGCGCGCCAACAAAAGCAGCAGGCGCAGTAAGGCTGAGGATTTCCTTCGAAGGAAAAACGCGGCGTCAGCGTTTTCTTTATCTGCCAGCTCTCTCCGTACCGATTATCTTGGGCCGAGATTTCATTGCAGGCGAAAAAATTTCCCTCGACTACGCTGCCGGCGGATATCGGCTCGGCGACCAGCCACACGTGACCCCCTTCACCAAACGTGAAGACTGCGTCACCGGCGCGACCCTTCCGGCCCACTACACAGCGCGGCCAGCTGCAGTTCTTCCTGACGGCATCCGAGACTCCCTCAACGCGTGCCCAGCAACCAGCTCGCAAAAGCAGCAACTCGAGAGCATCCTGCAGCCCTTCGCGTCGATGTTTACGGAAACCCCGGGCAAGACCGACGTGTTGCTGCACCGCATCGAGACTGGTGACGCCCGACCATTGAGGTGCAACCCTAGGCCCCTCAGCGTCCACAAGCGAGCCCTACTAGACGCAGCACTACAGGAGATGCTGGATACCGAAGCAGTGCGAGAGTCCCAGAGTCCGTGGGCCTCTCCCGTCGTCTTGGCTCCGAAGAAAGACGGCTCGGTACGACTTTGCGTGGATTATCGCCGCCTCAACGCAGTGACGGTGAGAGATTCGTACCCGTTTCCTTCCATCGACTCGGTTATGTACGCGATTGGCAACGCGAAAGTGTTCACCACTCTGGACTGCAGTCGAGGTTTTTTGCAGATTGAGATTCATCCAGAGGACGTACCAAAGACTGCGTTCACTTGCCACCGAGGATTGTTTGAATTTACTCGCCTCCCCTTTGGCCTTTCCAATTCTCCCGCTAGCTTCCAGCGTTTAATGGATATCGTTCTCGGCGACACAAAATATAACTTCGCCATGGCGTACATGGATGACGTCGTTATTTTTTCCCAGACTTTCGAGGAACACCTGAAGCATCTTGGGATCGTCCTCGAGCGCCTGCGCAACGCCGGCCTGACGATTCACCCCGGCAAGGTGCAGCTCGCTTCACCACACATTAACCTCCTTGGTTTTGTAGTGGACAATGGAGTTCTTCGCCCCAACGAAGACAAGCTGCGTGCAATAACAGAATATCCGCAGCCACACGACGTCAAGAGTTTGCAGCGGTTTCTTGGATTAATTGGATTTCATCGCCAGTTCATCCCTTGCTGCGCCGAGATTGCTAACCCCCTGACCTCGCTCTTGCGCAAAGGCGAAAAATGGCTGTGGGGGGAGGATCAGCGCTTCGCTTTCCTTCAGCTTTCGAAAGCAATCACCGACGTCGCCTCTTTGCAGTTGCCGGATCTCAACCGACAATTTGTCGTCCAAACAGATGCCAGCAACTCCGGCCTGGGCGCAGTCCTCCTTCAGGAACACGACAACGTTCTTCGCCCAGTCGCCTTCGCTAGCCGCACGCTGACAGCGGCCGAGCGAAACTATTCCGTGACGGAAAAGGAATGTCTCGCCATCATCTTCGCCCTCAAGAAGTTTAACATGTATCTCGATGGCGCTTCCTTTCAGATACAAACGGATCACCAAGCGCTCTCCTGGCTGAAGAATTTGCAGAATCCAGCCGGACGTCTTGCACGATGGGCTCTGACACTGCAAGCGTACGACTACACTATCGCCTATAAGAAAGGAGCAACTAATATTGTGGCAGACGCACTGTCACGGGCTCCTTTGCAGGTCCCTCCCACTGAGACGGAACCAAAGTTGGTGGGATTAACCGACATCGTGGCCCGCACTTCGGAGTCACGGTGGGGGACGTTGGTGAGCAGAGCAGACCTCCGCAAAGCCCAGCAGGAAGATGGACTTTGTCGACGTGTGTGCGAGAGGCTTGCGGCACGAAGAGCAAGCGGCACCGGAAGCGACGACGAGTACGACTCGTACCTGCTGAGCGAGGACGGACTTCTTCTCCGCTACATCCCCCAGGCAGACGACGACACCGATGGATCGCCTTTCCGTATCGTGATACCTCGGAAGCTGCGCAAGGCATTCATCAGGTACTTCCATGATTCAGCATTAGCGGGTCACAGCAGCGGCAGTAAGACTTACGATAAGTTATGTCGTGTTACGACTTGGCCAGGAATCAGGCAGGATGTACTGAAGTATGCTCGCAGTTGTCCAGTGTGTCAAAAGGCGAAACCTCGCGGAGGCCAACCACCAGGATTAATGCAGCCAGTCGTTAGCCAGTCGCCTTGGCAGATTGTTGCATGTGATGTCATGGGACCGTTTCCACGTAGTCCTCGCGGAAATCAGTACCTACTTGTTGTGACTGACCACTTCACTAAGTGGGTCGAACTGTTCCCATTACGGAAACTTCTTTCGCAGCGGATCTGGGACTGCCTTCTGTCCGTTTTCACCAGATTCGGCTTTCCTGCAGAGCTCATCACGGACGGTGCTTCCTACTTTCGAAGCAAGATTTTCGTCGACACCTGCGCTGCGCTTGGAATACGGTACAAGCTGACTTCGCCGTATCATCCGCAAGCCAACATCACGGAGAGGATCAACCGCAACCTCAAAATGATGTTGATTTCCCACACAGCCCGTCACAAGGACTGGGATGCCAAGCTCGACGAGATGGCATTTGCAACGCGCACCACGGTCAACCGATCCACTGGTTTCACCCCTGCTCGTCTCAACTTTGGTAAGGAGCTAACCTTCCCAATAGAAAATTCATTTTTGTACACAGATGTTGCGCAGAATGGACGCCCATACGCGCAGTTCGCCCAGGACGTCCATCACCGACTCTCGTCGGCCGTTCGTGAAGCACGAGAGAACCTCGACGTCGCTCGTCTTCAACAGGCCGCCCAGTACGACAAGGGCCGCCGCAACGTCCACTTTCAGGTTGGAGACCTGGTACTTCGTCGGACACATCCCCTCAGCGACGCGTCGAAAGGCTTCGCCGCATCCCTCGCCAACCGTTGGGATGGACCCTTTCGTGTAACGGAAGAAGTCTCTCCGTTGAGCTACCGCCTAGCACGTCTGCATGGTACACAGCAGTACGGGCCAATTCACGTGTCTGAGCTCAAGCGTTACTGCGAGCCAGCAATTCTTCCGCAGGTCCCGGACAATCCAGCCCCCAGCCAGCCCTTGGATCACGGAACCCCACCCAGGCGGTACAACCTGCGACGGCGATGATTTAACATCCGCTGGATGACCATATCCTTTTTCGCTGGCTGTACTCCTCTTCGCGGAGAGGGGGGGAGAGACGACCTCTCCTTCCCGCGGGTCTGCCTTTTGTTTTTCAAAACGGTTGTCTGATTTCGCGAGTACCTCCGAACTCAGTCTTATATCAGACCCGTAATCTTCTCCCTTCGTGTTTTCTTTTGTCATGCCGTCTGTCCAGATGGAATCCTCCCGCACCTACGACCGCCGTTATGGCACCCGATTCTCGGCCCGCCACCCGAGCTTTTCCCGTGGCCGTCGTGACTACCCCCGCACTGCCAGCGTGGCCACGTGGACGGTCCTGGTCGAAAAGCGTCCCGTGGCAAACGCCTCCAGGCTGCGTTGGCGCGAGCAGCCGCGCCCGGAACGCGGTGCCCCACCAGAGTCCGTTCCTGAGCCGTTCCGGGGGAACACCCTGGAAGTCCGCCACCCGGTGGAACCCCCCGCCATCTACAGTGATGCCGAACGCCGGCTCCTCTGCCCCCTCTGCGGCGTCCCAGAGATCCACCGGGCCACACACCTCGCCGGGGCCCTTCATCAGTCTCGGCTCGCCGCCGAGTGGGCCCACCGTGCTGTCCAAGCTGCGCATCGTGCTGACGCCCGCCCGTTGGAGGTAGCAGAGGCCCTCCGCGTGCTTCGTCAGGCCCGGCCTGACCTCTTGCGAGACCCTGCGGCCCCGGAGGACGCCATCCTAGACATGGACCTTTGAAGGGGGGGAGATGTGGGCGCTCGGCCCGCCACCCCGCGCCCATCCGGCCAACGACGCGCCACCGCCCTGGGGGGCGGCTCCTCGGCTCAGCGGACAAGATATAAGCGCGTGCGGCAGCAAGCAGGAGGACTGTTCGGTTCGCCCAGCCGTCAAGCGTACTGGCCGATGGTAATAAACCTCAGTTTGTAAAAAGGACGAGCCGTCTGGTCGATCTCCCGCGGCGGACGACGGAAGTCGAACGCCACAAGGTTCAGAGATGTTTTATCCACTATATTCTTGCGGACAAAAGTGAAATTTTGTGTCACACTATATATAATCAGTCTTAACTTCACACAAGCAGACTAACGTATAGTTCACGCTGTGAAAATATGTAGTCTCTGGAGTTTAATTCTCTTGCTGCATTCTCTTCACAGATATGTCCATCGATACAAACATGCTTTAGACTTGGATATAATGTCACCTCAAGTTTTCTCTGCATTGCTTTTATTGCTGTTTGCTCCTATCTCATCTTCATTGTTCAAACCCAAGTATGTGCACTCACTGGCCTTGGAACTGTGTCAATTTTGTACATCTTTGTCTGCTCTTCTGCGGGTGGAGGCTTTGAGTAGAAGTTCGGCTTATGCTGTGCAGCCTGATGTCAAGGTACTTCTGGGCGGTGCATCGCATATGATGAAATGCGTGGCTTTCCATTGGGTCGTTGTCAAGCATGTGTTCAGTGAGGGCGCTGAACACGTCCTTCCCAATGAATGATTTGAGAACATTGTTAAGTAGCTTTGGGAAGAAATTCTTTGACGATGGGGACAAGTGAGCCAGCGTAGATCGGAGAGCTATTTCACTTTCTCGACAAATCCACCCAAATGAGTAGAGCAGCCCTCCCAAGGCTTTATGTCGTATAAGTGAGTAGATCGGATCTGTGGGAGCTGTAGTCGTGAGTGCATCAATGCAGTCTGCGCAGCGCAACCTTTTTTGGAGGTGTCGAGCCACGAACCCAGCAATGTAAGCAATAATCCTTTCAGATAATTCTGACACAAATCTTGGATCTGGCAAGTAATGGTGGTCGAGAGGAATATCGTCAACTCTATCCATGCTGGTGCCGTCTGATTCCTCCACAAGGAGCCTTCGAGCAGTGGACCAGTTGATGATATCCAGGGAGTCTTGCTCCACTGCGCTGCTGACATGAAGGATTTTAATGTGCTCCAGTGGCAGGCAGTTTCCAGACGTGACATCTCGCACTTCGTTTACCACATTGAACTTCTTGAAGGCTGCAGCAAACTGTCTCGCAGTTGGATTATCATCGCATCCCCCATTTGATCTGATGGCCCCGAAGAAAAGTCCGAGGTGGTCTTGGCTAACTTTTATGGTTGGTAGGTACTTCAGTAGTGACTTTTCCTCAACTAGGTGTTTGTAAAGCTTGAGGACGCTGTTGATGCAGGTGAGAAATCCAATGAAGCCCACCTTCCGGTTGGTGCTGGTCATGAGCCTTCCGGTCCTTGATTCCTTTAGAGAAGAGAAATACTTCGTTGCGTCGTTTAGAATAAGACGAATATCTCGGATGTTCTCTTGACACATCGGTTTTTTCCATAGCCTTTGGTTTAAGTGTCTAGAGTTTAGAATGTCAAGCACGTCATTGACCTTCCTCAGAAAACGCACTGTTGGCTGTGCTTCATAGAATACCGGAACCCTGAGATTTCGGCACTCTTCTATCGCACTCGCAACGGATCTGCTGAAGACTTGCTGCAAGCGAAACCTTCATTGGTTGACTTTTCCAGTGGACATGCGATTCCTTTAGTTTGTTCGCCAGATGTAGGCCTTTTTTTTCTGAACCTCAAGGAGGTTCTCGATGAGTCTCCATTGGATGGTGCCCCCCTCTTCATCTTCAAGAGATTTTTTGTCACAACGACAGTTTCGCAACAGTTTTAACATGTGACAGGGATCAAGGAAAACAAAGACAGGCTCTTGAGTTTCCGGGTGGGGAATGACAGTTTCCAGATTTTCAGTGTCAAAGCTGCAGCCCAGATTTCGCAGCATTGTGATGTTTGCAGCTTCCCCGTCACACGTAAGTGACACGGCTTTGGCGTTACACTCGTGAACTAACCTGAGGGCTTGCTTCACCAAGTTAGCAAGTTGCTCTCCCCCTAGGCCATCTAGAGGGAAGTAGCCGAAGGGACGTTTCCAGTGGCCGTTAATACCAACATCCATTACAGCAAACGCATCTTTAGCAGCAGGCAACGCATCATCATGAACCTGCCCGCCCATGTCAACAGGGCCATGAAACTTCCGCCTATCCCATTCGGTGTGGCGTCTCACCGCCATCTCATCCACTAGCAGACTACACAATGTCGGGTACCCGGTTGTTGCATTCTGAGTTACTTCCATCTTCAGAGCAGCCCGTGCTTCTTTAAAGATTCCCGCAGATCCATCGATGGTCTCGTACCACTTGGTCATGGTCCTTGGGTATGGCAGGCATGTGTCGAAGACTTCTCTTACATAGTTATAGGCCCTGGGCGAGTAAAAATGTAACGTTAGAGCAAACGCCCGCAGTTCTGGTGAATATGTGACCGGCTGAGGTGCCCCAGTCTTCTTCGCAATTTGACGTCTTAGCAGGTCCTTGTTGGCTTTACCGGGGCTCTCAAGTATCAAAACATAATCATCAGTCAAGATGCGATACATATAGACGACACCTCGACACTTCAAACCGATCTGAGCTCTATTGCTTCGTGGTGCGACAAGTGGCAAATGCGAATTAACAAAGATAAAACCAAATATATGACCGTGACAACAAAGAAAACATCAATTAATTGCAGCTACTCTATCAACGGTGTCCCTCTGGAAAAGGCAAATAAATATAAGTATCTGGGTGTTTTTATTTGATAGTCTTAATTGGCATGACCATATTAACTACTTAGTTGGGAAAGCAAATCGTTCTTTAGGATTCATCAGGCGGAAGTTGTTTTTAGCTCCTCCCGAAACTCGTTTGCTAGCTTTTAAGTCCTTTGTCAGATCGCAGCTCGAATACGCCAGCATCACATGGTCTCCCCACCAGGACTACCTGATTGACCAAATTGAAAGAATTCAAAACAAAGCCGCGCGCTTCATATTTAGTGATTATTCACCTTACACGAGCGTTTCGGCACTGAAACAAAGGGCTAATTTACCTTTATTAAAAGTAAGGCGCAAAGTCTCCCGTCTTACCTTCATTCACAATATCTATTATTATAAGGTTAGCCTTAAGGAACTCTTATTACCTTCCCCTCATCGCATCTTTCCCAGACATGATCACCCTCACAAAATTCGTTTATCAAATTGTCGCACTAACCAGTTTCGCAACTCGCAATTACAGCTTGCCATTGCAGAATGGAACTCTTTGCCCCATCACGTTGTAGATATCATAGATAAAAATGAATTCAAATCATCATGTGAACGTGTGTTTCACTTTTTCATGGAATGAATCGCGGGATGGTGTCTTCCTTTTTGTTTCATATGCAAAGATGGTCTTTTCTCTCTATTTTTGTAGCCTGGTTGGCACGTTGTTTCCTGTTTGTGTAAGAGTGTATTCCTTTCGAGTGGGTGTATTGCATTGTTTCTTGTTTATATAGCAAATATGTACGATATGTATCGTTTCAATATTTTTGTCGAAAACCTTGTACTCCCCCCTCATACAATGCCCGAAAGGGCGCTTTGAGGTAAATTAAATAAAAAAATATTAAATAAGATTCTTGGTGAGATCGTCAATGACATCCTGCATCTTGGCTAGCTTCTTCTTGAGGCTGCTGAAGCGATTTGATTCTTTTCTTGCTAGCTGTCTGGAGGTTGCAGTAGGGTGTAACCTCCTTCCGCAAGAAGGCCTTCTCGGGAGTGTCGTCGGCAGGCTGAGCCTATAGGAATGCAGGTTTTCATCACAGATTCATTGTCAACATTCTAAATTTGTGTAACATTTGGGTACTTTTCACTCCCCTTGCATAAAGTCTTTCATGACCATTGTAGATCCGGACGGGTGACAGAGACAAGCAGATTAGAGGGCAACTCCACTCATTTTCTTAACTTTTGGTTATATTTGTTTTCAGCAATAAGACAGCGACCCCGAATCATGCAGTATCGTTTGTTTAACGGCTGTGTGTGCAGTTTTGTAGGTAACTGGCCTGAAGCTTTCATTGGCAACATTACTGCTGCGTCAGTTTCGTGCCACCGCAGGGTCTGGACCAGTCTGGACTACTTATTAGTGTGCCGAGTACTAGCATTTTCCACTTTTGCCGAAGAAATGAGTTGCAATGATGCTCATAGCTAGCGCTTGTACGAACAACGAAGCGCAGCACGCATTTGCCTTTCTGCATTGTGCCTTTGGTAAGCAGCATTTGTCATCAATCTAGCTTTTTTTCACTTTGCAGCAGTCAGTAAACCTCCCTCTACATGTTGCCAGCTGAAATAGCAGCATTAAAGCGGGATGCAACAATTTTGTACTCGGCACACATATCGCTTGGAACGGATCCCTGACATTAATAACCTATGAAACAAGTATTTGTGTTTTACCATACACAACAAAAGTCGCAGAAAAAAATTTAAAAAGTGAGTAGCGTTCACTCCCTCAACTTGCAGCCAGAACAAGAGGCCACGTGATCTGGAGCCAATCATATGCCGTCAATGTTGATCATAGCCAAGCGCTGTGGTTGGCAAGGCACAGGACACGCGCTTAGTTCCGGGCATTGTTATGGTTCGGCTTTAGTCGTCATTGCCGTAACTGGACACGGGCCACTACCCGAATGCTTGTCCATCTAATGATTATCATGAGCCCAAATAGAGTGCTCATGCAATGCTCGGGCCCAATATATTTGCCGCATTCAAATAACCTCACTGGGCGGTACTCCGACTGCTCAGCTATGTCATCAAATTTTGCGAAGGAGATTGAACGAAAATGCTCGCTTTTGTCCTTGAAATTGTACCGCAACAAAGGAGTTTCTTGGCGTTAAAGGGGCTGTGCAACAATATTAACGTTGAAAGAAATCGCAGTTTGTAATTTTTATCCTATGTGCTTTGCCCTAAGTGACAAAAAACACCCAACCTTCCTCGGAAATGTTGCGATTTCACTAAGTAATTGGACATTATAAAACTGTTTTTTTTACCGGCCTGCAGCCGCACTGCGGTGGTTGCCGGAACCACAGGGCGCGGCCGGCGTGACGCTCGCGTGACGTCAAGTGGGGAACGTGTAAAACATTGGCAAGTTGTGCTATTATCTGCTAAACATAAGGCTTATTTTTAGAAATCTTGTCGTATTGACATAAACAAATGTATCAAAAGTATCCTACCATTCACGAAATATTATTAGTCGTCGTTTTAGTGGCGCCATCTGTCAGATGTCAACAAAACCATTTTTGCTCTGTGGCGTGGCTCACTTGCTCATGGCGTGAGGAACGAGCAAACTTTCTGTTTCGGTCTCTAGTTCGATCTTCCGCTGCTAACGTCGACAATGCCGACCGGGTGCGGTGTTCCGCTGTGTCCGAACCGGTCTCCAGGAAGCCGCCAGCTCCGGGAGCGGGGAAGAGTCATCGGCTATCACATTTTACCGCGTGATGAACTTCGCCGAGCTGAGTGGTGTCGGAGGATCGGGAGGAAGGACCCCGGACAGGTTGAGCTCCGCGTGTGTTCCGATCACTACGACGGGGATCGTGACTACCGTCGCGTAGGAAGTGTGCTTCGGGACGCCGGGCAGACCATGAAGGATGTCCGTCTGAAGCCCGAGACGGTTCCATCGCTTC